CGGAGGCGGCGGGGGGGGGGGGGGGCTAACGCGCGGGTGTCGGCTGCGACGTTGCCGCGGCTCGAGCGCAGCTGTCGACGCAAGCGCCGTCACCTGTATAATGTGCGGCACCGCCGACACCGGCGGCCGGCGGCGCGGGGCGGCCGAGACGGTTCCAACGCCTCTGGGAGTGACGCGCGCGGCGCGGCGCACGAGGCGACTGTCAGCGACGGCGGCGGCCGCGCTCTGGCGCCCTCACTGTACAGCTACATTCTTCCGTTTGGTCGTTTGCTTTTGTTTCCTGTTTGATTTGTTTTGTTTTTTTTTTTTGCTGTGGACGCTTATAGGATTCAAATTGTTGGTGAGTCGCGTACACTTCGGAAGCTTTGTGTGTCATGGATTTCTTTCCGTCTGTCATTATCTGGCCGAAATCATTCAAAAAGTATCCCAAGTGCACAATCGACCTATATGGCAAAGACATCTATGAGATGGGAAATCTGGCTTCTATATATATATATATATATATATATATATACGCGCTGCGGGAACTCTCCATCTTTGTTTTATCTCGCCCTATACCTTTTATGTCATCCAACCTTATGCCAGACGCTGTGAAGAAATGACCGTGCGACTAATATGGTCAGTGTCGCCCGTCCAGCGGGACCATTCCTGTCGCACGTTCGTCTGCGGCACGATGTCCACTGCACCCCGGGGCTACCGTAAAATATTGCCCGGCGGGAGATGGATGGTACCAGCTCAACACCTAAGAGGGCCGTCAAGGTCGCAGACCACGTCACAGGGGGGGGGGAGGGGGGATAGGGCTCGGTAGGTGGTCACACCAGCAGCGGCAAGGGTCAGTCAAGCAGCGCGTAGCGGCAGCCCCAGTGACGTCACAGGGATCTGACGCCCGGGTGTCCCGCCGATGATCTGTCGGTTCCGTCTGACGTTTTTGAGAGGTGAAATCGGGAATACGGCGCCAGATATGACGCGTGGTGTTGTCCATCACTGTAGCCCGGTTGTTACGCCCCGCCCGTGGTGGGGCGTTCACGTCCCCTTAGACGCTCGCTGTTTGCTCCTGGCTGAGATGGCCAGCAGCCGGTGGCAGTGGCCGCGCTAAAGGTCGGGTGACGTCAGGGGTAGGACGTACCGTGCCGAGCATTACGGCACGTCAAGCTTTCGCCGCTGCATTCTGCCGCTGACCCGGAATCTCGAGACCGGATGATGGGTTCAGGGCTCACGCAACCAGCCCTGCTCAGGGCGGGGCTGATTCTAGAAATGCATCCGGTCAATAGCTTGTACTGAATATACATTCTTTGAAATGTTCAAACCATGGATCGGCGCACCGCTAGAAACGTCACGAAAGGCCGCAGAAGTGCATGACCCTGCCCACCTCCATTGCCAATATCCATGGGCGATGCCCACCACATACCTCTCGTAAACCGAGAAAGGAGCCTCCAACCAGGACCCTCAGGTGCCAAACAAAAGCAGCGTCATATATCCCCGGGCGTGCGGAGATGGGAGAACTGGATGCCACCACTTTCTAAAAATTTGGCGTAAGCCCGAAGAGCGTCGACTGGAAGAATATAACCAAAAATGGTTTTCGCCCCTCCCAAAGTTCTAAAGTTCCAAAGAACTCCCCTTGCCGCTGCATATTTCCAGCAGCACCCCCAGCCAGCACCCTCGCCCTCTGCGGCTCCTCAGCCGGCTGCCGCGCAGCTGCCTGTGCCAGCGGCCTGTCCGGGCCGGGCCGCGGCCGGCGCCCCAGTGCCGGCTACGCACGCGCGGCTCTGATTCAGCTGAGGACAAGGTCGCGGGCCGCGCCAGCCTGACGTGACCTTATATGGGGCGGGTGCGGACCGGCGCCGGCCGGGCGGGCGGCGGGCGGCGGCCGCCCGTTGCTCGCCGCCCGCCCGCCGCCTGGAAGAAGCCGCGGAGAATGATCAAGCCGAAGCGATTTACGGCCGTTTTGTTTCGGGCTGCTCGTAAAGGCAGCGTCCCATTAGTGTCTCGGGGTCCGAGGCGCGAGCCGACCCAGATGGTGGCCGGCCGGCGCTTCGCCTCTGCGCCCGCCGGTCTTCAGGGCGGGCCGTTCACCCCTGCCGCTCCTTGCACAGTGTCGGTTTGTGATGGGCGGTTTTGCACACCTGACGGCTGAGATCCACCCCTTAACGCATTCTGACCGAGCGTTGCAAGAATGGCTCGGCCGGGTGCGGGTGGAGGTGGGGGCCGACGTGGGGGGGGGGGGGGGGGGAGTCGCCCGGCTGCGTGCCTCCTCGGTGGAACGTCCTGAGCTCTGGTTGGATCGGTGCCTGCCGCGAGCGGGTGGAGCCGACAGACTCCGCTGCCCCTGGATCCGGACGGCGACGGAACACGAAGGGAGACCTCACTTCTATCCACGCGCCGGGAGAGAGGAGACTCGTGGAGGTTGTTGTCCTTATTCTCGATGGCTGTGATAAAGTAACTCATCTCGGCGATCGTGTTGGTCCACGCAGAACAACTTTTTTGGAAATTTTTTAATTCGTTGGGCTGCTGATATCATTAAAAACAGCATCAAAATAATTGTTCGCCTGCTATAAGATAACATAGCAGCAAACTGTGAAATCCTTTTTCTGATATTCCATTGTCTGACAACTGCATCTGAATGGGTTTATTGCCGATTTTGCCTGGTCCCTGGCTTATCGGGTATGGTATGGGTATGGGGTGTGGTATGGGGTATGGGTATGGGGTGTGGTATGGGGGCAGAGGCGTGTTGCCCGTTAGCAGTTATCAGCAAGTGATGGCGGTTCAGTGATTGCATAATTAATCTTATCCACAAACGAGCCTTTCAATTTTACATTTAGCGGTTGCCTGCATCGTATCTGGTCTGCGCCCGCCGTAATCTATTGACCTGTTTTCTCGCCCTGCGTGCCGCCAGGATCAAAGTGCAAGGTAAAACGGTCCGCGCTAGGCGCACACCCATACGCCAGGCCCCGGGTGTGTGACGTAGCCGGCCTGCAGCTTCAGTCAGTTCCCCGCCTGCCGCCGTCGGTTCCCTGCCCTGTTGATGCGCGCCCCGTCCCGCCCGCCGCCGCCAGACGGCCGTCTGCAGTGTTGCAAGGCTGCAGGTCTGCAGCGCGGCTGCGCGGCCGCGCCGGCGGTGACGCGCTGGGCGCCTCTCCTCCGGCCGGCCGTCGCGCCGCCGCGGCCTTGACATTCGAACGCGGCGGCTCCGCCCGTGCGGGTGTAACGGCTGCTCGGAGAGGACCGGTCCGGGCCGCCTCCGCACTCGCTGCTCGCCAACTGCCGCATTCTGATGGCGCTCCTCTCTCATTTCCATTTCCCTTATGTTCTTAAGCTTTTCATGTCTGATTTCTCCCTCCCTCCCCCCTCTCTCTCTCCCCCTCTTCTCTTCTCTCTCTCTCTCCTCTCTCTCTCTCTCTCTCCTCTCCTCTCTCTCTCTCTCTCTCTCTCTCTCTCTCTCTCTCTCTCTCTCTCTCTTCCTCTCTCTCTCTCTCGCTCTCTCTCTCTCTCTCTATCTCTCTCTCTCTCTCTCTTCTCTTCGCTCTGTCTCTCTCTCTCCTTCTCTCTCTTTCTCTTTGCTCTGTCTCTCTCTTTACTCTCTCTCTCTTCTCTCTCTTCGCTCTCTATCTCTCTCCTCTAGGTGCCTGCTCTCCCTTTTTTCTGTTGCTTGCGGATGTCTTTAGTTTTTCTTGCGACACCTTTCTAATAACATTGCTGATAATGTCTCTGCCCCGCCTCTTCACCCATCCCACCTCTCCCTCTGCTTCACAGCACGCTGTTTTGACATATCTGCCTGGCCGAACCCGACCTCACTCCCGGTACTCATTGCCAAGATCCCATCCGACCTCGGCAGCTGTTGCCTTCGCACGCGTCGACCGTGTCTCCGTCGCCACAGAAACGTGACGCCAATCAGGCGGGCGTGACAGGCGGACGGTCTTGAGCTCGTTACCACCCCCGGCGCGCCCGGCATGACGCTCCCGGTGGTCGGCCGCCGGGCCGGGCCTGAAAGCAGTGACGTCATCGCTGGGCAGCGGCGGGCTGCACAACGGCTGCATGCGGGAGGGCTGCAGACTACGCATTCTTGACGCCATTTGAGAGCGACGTCCAACAATCGCACGGCATTAAAATCATCATTTGAACAGCAGAACTTGAGCTGCTTAAGCCCACTGTAAAAATCCTGCCGGTATGAACGGACTGTTTTTGGGAAGGGTGCTCGACACATGCTTGTTTGTTGTGGGGGCTACGAGCCAAGCGGGGTGTGAACAGTCGCAGGCGCACGAGACAGCTCTCCCCGCGCCTGTGGTAGCTACGGCACCAAAATGGTACCACTGTGAGCGAGTGCTCGCCTCTTGTGAAACGATTCAAATGAAGCATTGACACTCGTCAGCCCTGTGATGTCTCCCCGCCTGCTCCAGGCGTCGTCGGCCCTGGCTGACATCCTGACCGCCAGCTCTTCCCCGACTTAGCGCCGACTGCCGCGCTCGTCCCCTCAGCGGCTCGCTGCTCTAATGCTATGCAAATCAGATTCGGATTGGGCCAGGAACAGGAGCCGGGCACGCGGTGGGAAGCCGACCGGGCGGCCGGGCTGGGAACCGGGGCTGGCGGCGCCGGCGGCCCGGCCCGCGCGCCGCCCGCTGGGAAACGCTGCGGCACAGGCTCGGCGCGCCGCCGGGCCGCCGACGGCCGTTTAAACCCGCCCGCCGCTAAGCCCCATTTGAATGTGCACTTGCTGCCTGGCTCGGAGGGTTTCCGGGATGGGCTCTAAGCTGCGCGGCTTGGAAGTCAGCAGGGCGTCTGGAACGCTCGCGCTTGATGTCGCATGGCGAGCTGCGGGTAGCGATCCCCCAGTGCCGCGAGGCGGCTGTAGTTTCTGTGCGCCATCCAAACGCAGTGACCCGTCCCACCGCACGTGTGTTGTTGCTGGTGTGAGCCGCTCAGCGCGGACAGGTTGTCTGTCCCGCCGGCGCGGGGCGGAGAGAGGTGACGTTCTGACCGGGTCCGGCCGTGGCGCCGTGTTCCAGACTCCACCCACATCGTCGACTGTCAGCTGAAGCTCATCCTCGGCCTGATATGGACGCTCATCCTGCACTACAGCATCTCCATGCCCATGTGGGAGGGCGACGACAACGTGCCCGGCGAGAAGGGCCCCACGCCCAAACAGAGGTCAGTGACCTCGCCAGATCCCCCCGGTCACAGCCTGTCGTGCCCCAACTCCCGGCAGTAACAGGTGCTGTCTGTATACCTCGTCCACTGGGAATAACGCATGCACTTGAGCCGCACGCCGTCTGGACGTTTCCCAAGTCCGTTAAGCCGTTGCCAAGTAATTCGATTGCGGCTGGTGATGTTTTCCATTATGCATGTTTTCTGTTTCCCATCACGCCGAAGAAATGACGTGTCGTCGGAATGAGTCCATTCCCTCACTGGGTGCATCGTTATACTTCAAATTATTTCGAATGTACACTTTCTTATCTTAGTCCTGTACGGCGGACCAGCTAGCAGGCGCCGTGTTCCGCTTCTGCGACCGACGTTTATAAAACACATCCTAACGTTTGAAAACATGACGTAATTCGCAAGATTTCGTGTCGGTCCTGGCTGCCCTCAAACGCGCGTGTTGCTGGCTCGGCCGACTCGGCACTGAGTCGCCGCCCGTGTCCTCGGCAGGCTCATGAACTGGATCGGCTCCAAGATGCCGGACCTGCCCGTGAGGAACTTCACCTCCGACTGGCGCGACGGCAAGGCCATCGGCGCCCTGGTGGACGGCGTGGCGCCAGGTGAGTCGGCGAGGCGCCCCGGTGGACGGCGTGGCGCCAGGTGAGTCGGCGAGGCGCCTTGATGGACTGAATGGCGCCAGGTGAGTCGGTGAGGCGCGGCACGAGCCCCTGCCGGCTCCCACAAGCGACGGTGGTCAGAATAGGGAACCCTGCCGCATGGTGGCGTGGTGGGTTGCGCAGACATATTCGTGGGTCATAATCACCAGGTGTGTGGTAAGAGCCTCCCGCCAGTTGGAAAGGGGATAAACGCACTTTGGATTTGACCGGCTGAATTCAGGTCGGAAAACGAAGCAAAGAAAGCCTATTTTGGATTGGACCGACTGAATGCATGTCGGAAAGTGAAGCATAAATGTCTGGTGTTGCCTGTATTCGTTTTGCCTCCTGGAGTCGGACATTAGACGCTGCGTACGCCGTCGGTCGCCCGCGTCCTGTTCTGCCGGGAAGCGTTCATATTGTTCAAGGTGCAGAATGTCCAAAGGTACAGAATGTTCAAGGTACAGAATCTCCAAAGCTCATTATGTCCAAGGTACACAAGGTCCAAGATAAGAAATAACTTCCAATATGGCGCAGAGTGGAAGGGGCATGAACTTTGGACATTCCGTACCTTGGACAGTCTGTACTTTGGGCATTCTGTACCTCGGACAATATGATACGGACCCGTCCTGCCCTTCACGGGCCCGCCTGCTCAGCCGACCGTGGCCATGTGACCCTCGCCGGCCGGCCGGGTCCCGTTGGAGGCGGTCAGGCAGATGACCTGATACAGAGCCAGCCGGGCAGGCGTCGGGCTGCGCCGGGCGCCGGGCGCCGGGAGGGACGCCTCACGGAGGCAGGGGCCCGTCTCCCGTCACGGCGACGACGTCACAGCGGGCGATGACGGACTGTGCTCGGCTGCCGAGCTCGATCGCGCACCCCGGCCGTGCCGCGAACCCGAGCCCTCCTCGGCGCTGGCCCATTCATTACGGCGTCACGCTGGCCGGCGCCGGTCCGGGCGCCGGGCGGGCGGGCCGGCCGGGCCGGTCTGTCCCCACCCGGCCTGCGGCGTGTCCGCAGACTGGAGGTGCGCCCTTCGCCCGCTGTCGTGTTTACTGGCCACCGGCACACACGTGACCCGGCCGCCGACCGGTCCAAGGCGCCACGAAACAACGCGCTCTCTGGCCGTAACCTGCTGGCCGAGGCCTGCTGGCCGAGACCAGCTGGCCGAGACTTTGGAGATGATTTATCCAGTGCATGTTAAGTTTTGGTGCTGTCATAAAATTGCAACAAAAGCCTTTGCGGCAAAAATGGTTCGCCACGTTCCGAAATGGGTGATTGGAAGCACACAATGCTTCCCACAATGCGTTTTCATTTTTTGCTGCTTGCGGTGTAGCTAATATGATGAGCATTAGATGAATAATTGATCTGCTATCGTTCACGACCAGGTGTGTTAGCTACACTAACACACCAGACGAAGACGGTGGTTGAAACAATTATCTCATCCGTGATACTAATGCCTCGTTTCAATCCTTCCGTAAAACTTTAATGATCGATATTTTATCGACTTTTCTGCACCATCGGATTGGCATTGACGTGTTGGGCTTCCCACCACCTTCTCGTCGCCATTACAAGCTAGCTGATGGACCAGGCCAGGGCCGGAAGGGGTGAGCTTTTAGCCGCAACCATTCTGGCCCAATAGTGACCGCTATAACGGCCGTCTGGCCGCCGAACAGAGTGGCCCTTTGACCCGGAATGTGGAGTTATGCGCTCGTGAGGCCACAGAGCGTGACATAAGCCGACTAGGGATGGGAATGTAGCAGGTGAACCCTGAGAGGTGGCAGTGGCATTTGTGACTGGGAATCGGGGCTGGGAGTCTGTCACACACGTGGGGAATGGCGGACATCCCAACGGCACTTGCAATTCTTTTATTTTCGCGTGCATACAATTTCATTGATAATTTAATGAATTTACATCATATACTCGGGGAAAGTTTCCTTGATTTAATCGCCAAAATAAAGAACGAAGCGAGCTGCTCATTTCATGTTCATTCCTGCGCGTTTCACACGAATCGTGTCCGTTTCTTCTCACATTAACACCAATCTGCGGCAGGGTGCACATTTCCCGCGTGTCTTCTATGTGACGTACCCCGTCCCGATTTCACACCATTACCTAATTTTCAACTGGACTGGGCTTTGCATCATGCCATACAGCTCCATCTAATCAACCGGCGCCCTTCAAATCCACAACGGCAGGCAAACTCTGGTCTGTTTGTCCCGCTTCACGTCCTTTGGCTGCGACTGTTCCGGAGCGACTGACCTGGAGCGACTGACTTGGGGCGACTGACCTCTCTTGCTTGACTAGTCTGTGCGGTCGAGTGCTAGTGGTGCGTATTCGCAGTCGTTCTGTGGCGTCAGTTGGGGTGACTCGGTGCCCTGGTTCTGGTCGGTCAGGCCTTGTGCCCCGACTGGTCCGACTGGAAGCCGAGGATGCCCTGAAGAACGCCACCGAGGCGATGGGTCTGGCCGACGACTGGCTCAACGTGCCGCAGGTGCGCTACAGCGCGCTACATAGTGCCACAGCGCGGCTGCAACAGCGCGTTTACACTGCGCGACAGGATGGCACGTTATGCGCCAGCACGTGCTGCTTTGCCACAGGCTGTGGCTGGCGAGCGCGCGGATGGCTGGGGATTGGGGCTGGGGCTGGGGCTGGGGGATGGGTGCTTGGGCGAGCCCGAGGCATGGGCTCGCTCCGGGTGGGCGTCGAGCGCCGGTGGCTGCCTCGGGACGGAGCGGGGGAGGGGAGGGGGGGGAGGGGGGTGATCGGGGCTGCCTCGGACGGCGTGGCCTGTCCCGGGAGCGGCGCTGACCGCTGACCTGCGCGTTACAGCTGATCCAGCCCGAGGACATGATTGACCCGAACGTGGACGAGCTGTCCATGATGACGTACCTCTCGCAGTACCCCAACGCCAAGCTGAAGCCGGGCGCCCCGCTCCGCAACAAGACCAACCCCAACAGGTGAGCCGGCCGCCGGGGCACTTGTGTCGGCATTAATCCTTAATCTCTCTTCATGTCAATACAATGTTGCCCACGCCCCCCCCCCCCCCCTCCACACACACACACAGTCTGTTGTGCCGCTCCCCAGCTTCACCTCTGCGTCCACTAGCCTTCCAGAAGCGCTTAGCTCACATTTTATTCCTTCCCTTTCCCCGGTTCCTCCCTATGCTTTTCTGTCTGGCGATCCATGCGTTGCTTCAATTTGAATCCCCGGGTCCGCTCAGACTTCCATTCTCCATAAGTTATGTCGCTGGTCGCGTTCTTTGGACTTCGGCTTCCCCTCCACCCCACCGGCTATCCATCTTGCTTCTCTAACGTTGAGAGGCTGTCAGCGATGGCGAGATAAATGATCTCGACCTGCGTCCTCCCTTATTCAGACATTGTTTACAAGTTCGCAGACGCCTGTGGTTCGCTGTGATGTTTGAATCGACTGCTCCGCCACCTTCCTCGGCGAAGTTACGGAACTCTGAGCCTAATCAAGGCTTAGAAATTTGATGCACATGCTCAGAATGGTCTTGGGGATTGCGGTCCTTTGCAAGGACTGGTTTTGGCTTTAGCTGTATGATGCAGCAAATGCGTGAGTCAAGAGCCCTGACAACCTTGTGCAAGCGCCTTAGCTAGTTCAGTGATCCGTATGCCGTTCACTTTTTTATAAGTCTCCGAGCAGCATTATTCGACCAAGCTCTCATGTAATCAGTGCCATGGCCGCTGTGTCGACCCATGAAATTACCGAAATGGGTGTTTGGCACCAGTCAGCGAGTTTTGCCAGTGCCAGTGTCCAGGTCCCAGACTGCCTGCACGCGGTGGTCGGTGGCCTGTTGGCGGCGGCGGCCGCCGGCTGGCCGTCTCGTGCAGGGGCCGGTTTCCGCCGGCTGGCGGCGGCCGCACGCCCGGACGCCGGACGCTCGTGACGGCGCCGGTCGTTGTGGGTCGTGACTCAACAGTCGTCCGGGTCGTTTGAACTGTGCCCGGTGACACCGCAGCTCAGTTTGTGGACCCCATCCGGGCTGCGGGCGGCACTGGGCGGAACATTTGTGAACCTCGACCCAGCGCTGGCACGTGCGCTGCTGGGCGTCGGTGCTTCGATTTTGCGCGCCTCGCAGGGCTTATCGCCGCACTGATCTGCGACGTTTCGGTGGCGTTTGGTGGGGAGCGACAAACAGAAACCAGGAATGACGTCTGGGTGGGATCCAGGCGGAAAGCTGCGACCACCTTCCCTAGTTTCACCAGACTGCACCCTGGAACCAAAGGAGGGCGAAGTTCACACAATGCAAACTGACCGCCTGCTGCTGTATGGTTTGGCACGCTGGTCTGCAAGCGTTGTTGCTGCCCCGGACGGGTCTCTATGCCGTGCCCTGACGTGTGGTCTCTGTTCCAGCCAATCGGCCATCGGCGCCAGGTAGAGGTCGCGTCGCGCTCTGTCCGTGTCCGTGTCTCGCTAACCCGTTTGCCGTGCGTGACCCGACCGTGTCGTCGTGCGTCCCGGGTGACCTAACTGACCCTAACTCGCGCGCCCGCGCGCCGCGCCGCGTCTTTCTCGCTCTGTCGCCGGATGACGACAGGCGTAGCTCCGTGTGCGCCGCCGTCACGTCGGTCGAAACACTCCTCGGGCGCGCCGCAACCCGAGGACGGCGCGGGTGGGGGCACCACCCACGCGCCCTCCAGCGGACAGCACCGCCGGCGGTGTTTTGCCCCGTGGCGGGGCGCGGCTGGCGCTCGGCGCGGCGACCGTTGCCAACTCGGGCCCCGGCGCCGCCACAATTAATCCCCGGCTCCCCTGCCTGACGTCACCCGCGTTCAAACGGTGACGTCACGCCGGCCGGCCGTTACGGCGCCGTTTTCCAGGCGCGGTCGGGCGGTCGCATTCCAGGCGAGCGGTCTATCGCGGGCACTGCGAGCCCCGCGTCGGGCCGTCGCCGAACGCGCGCCGGGCGGCGGGCGGCGGGCGGCGGGCGGCGAGCGGCCGGCGGTGGGCGGCCGGCGGCCGGCGGCCGGCGTGCCGCACCGACAGGACGTGGGGTGCGCGTCGGGTCGCTTTGATCGCGCCGACAGTCGCTGTCAGCTGTGCAGGCAGCGAGGTCATGAGCAAGCGTGCCGCGTGGGCGATGCGTTCCGACACGTCCTGAGGCAGCAATGCCATTGACTTTGCGCGCTGAATCAGAGCGAAGCTGCTCTTTATTGATCCCGGGGCATTTTCGGACGTTTCGTTGGCTCACGCCACCTCGTCCACGTCTAAATGTCCATGACCAGAACGTCGCCTGAACTGTGGCTGGCCGTTTGGAGCAGGAGTGATGACTCCGTGCATGGTGGACCAGTTGTTCAGTCGTGGCCAGTGTCACGGGTGTCACCGTGCATCCTCGCTTCAAGAGGGCTCCGAACACCGGTGCTTTAGTCATAGTTGATGCAGCATGCCCGGCGACTCTCGAAGCGCGAAGGGTACATATTTGTTGCAGTGCTTCTGCGTGAAGCATTCTATCAGTAGTTTAGTGCGCAGGTTATAATATTTGGTTGACGGCACGAAGACGGAAAACAATTGGACGACCCTTCATCAAGATCAAAATAAAATGTCTTTATGTCAGGCTTTCTAGTTATTTCCATCGTGATGAAGCACTGCCTCTAAATATTACCATCTTTCAAATCCTTCGTTTAGCCTAAGACAGGTTTGAATTGAAGAGATGGACATGCTTACGACAGCGCACAGATTACCGGGTCTTCCGCCACATGTTGCGCCCAAACGTTGAACTGGCGGTTCAGGCTGCCTCTACAGATCCGGCTGGCTCCCTAGAACGGCGATTACTAATCCGAGTTACTACTGCCTGAATGTCTTACGGCATGATGTGTGGATTTGGATGTCTGACGCATCGCAGTGATTAACTAGCTGAAATATGTGAGCACTTGAAACAACCCTGCAGTACGACTGGCACCGCGCTTCTAATGGTAATAATTGTCGTGTCGCGGCACCGAGCTTTGGACACCCTTGACGTCCAGACCCCTGCACGATGGCAAACCATGTTTGCGCTGGTTTGGAGTTGTAGCTCAACCTCCCCTTCCCTCTTAACCTTCAGCTCTACCCCCGAAATTACGTTTGTTCATACTCGCGCGCTGCTCTCTTTTGACATGTTTCGCTCGGTGGCCCCTGGGCCGCCTGCTGGCTGCCGTCCATGGCGTGTGCCCCGCTGCAGCCGTGCCTGTCCCCGGTGAGCGCTGACTGAGCGGGGCCTCTCCGTCCAGGGTGCGCTGCTACGGCCCTGGTGTCGAACCCACCGGGCCCGTGGTGGGCGCCCCCACCTTCTTCACCGTCGAGACGTTCTCGGCGGGTCAGGGCAAGGTCGAGTGCTTCCTGGTGCGACCCAACGGCCAGAAGGAGCCGGTGAGTGCGGCAGCCCACCGCCGGGGCGCTGCTGTGGCTGTTGACTGTTGCTGTGGCGAGTATTGCTGGCACAGCGTCACCTGGCATCGATCATTTTTCGTCAACGTGTACGGCTTGTACCAGATGTACATCACACACCAGGTGTTAATTCTCTCACCGCCAATTTTCGTAAAGCCGCTTGAAATGTCTCAGTAGCTGATCACATTGCCCGAACAGGATGACTTCAGGAGTTCCATTCCAATCATCGGGTTACTAAGCAATGCACGCCTGTTTTTTTGAAAATGTTGTTGAGCTGGGACAAAACTCATATAATATTTCAGCCAGCTTGTTCCAAACCTTGCGTTCAATGAAAATAAGCGATTGATGAAATGTTATCTGCTTGCATCAATGCATGTTTGTCTTTACCACGTACTGGCAATTGCAATGGAGTAACTAGGAGACTCGCCATTACTCTGCCGCCACAAATGCATGTTTGTGTGTGCAAAGCAAGCAGAGAGGATTTATGAGCTACCTCGAGCAAAACTGTAAAGACTAGGTGCCTTCACGAGACTCCCTCCCGAGCTCATGGACCTCCCTATTTTTCCGCGCTAAGTATATTATTGCAACACGGCCACGGGCGTGCGGTGTGCCAGATGATACAGTGGTTCGCGAAATCTACCGGCCGCTGCGAAAACATCGCGGTGTTGTCTCAGTCAGTACTGATCTGGCACGGCTTCGACGGCAGGAGCATGCCTTCGCTCGGCGTGCCGTGAGCCCTCGGCAGTATCTGGGGCGGCTTGACCGTCGGCATCCCCGGCCGTGTTCCAACCTGGCGGCCGCTGATCAGGACGGAAGTGGCCGCCGCTCTCTCCCGCACACTCGTCGAAAGGCGATCACGGCAGGAGCGGGAACACCTGCGGAAGCGAGCTGGAGCGAGACAACATACGCGTGGCGTTTGCACGTGCAATTGTAGGCGTACTACGACCGTACCAGAGGCGACCCACCTGTGAAATGGGGAGGGGCCTGCTTCCCCAGCTGTGTAGTTGGCTTGCTGCCAACGTGGAAGGCAGGGGCGGGGGCCGTGTGACATCGCCAAGATATGTGAACGCTAACTACGCCTATGTGCAGCAGCTACCCGCCACTTTGTGACAGTGAATGTCATATCTTGGCATGATTCGTTAGTCATTCGCACCAGCTTAATTTTGCACCAGGCTCAGATTCGTGGATACACATACTGAAAGCAGCCAACTCTTGTCCTCCAGAGTTGTGCACCGGGGCGCAGCTGTTCCAGTCGAATATTTTGCTAGCGGCATGCGACCAAACCTTCCGAAGGACAGATGTTTCTTCACTGACTGTATAACTGTTTTATATTCGAGTTCGTGGAGCTAGACGCAACATTGGAGGCTGAGTAGGACAGGTGGGGAGAGAAAAATTCATCCTCAGCAATCACTTGTACAAGTAGCGACGTTTCTCGCTGCAGATATGCACATTCGCGCTGTATACCAATCCACTGGAGCGGTGTTATGACGCGCCATGCTGCTAGGCAAATGCAGCGGCCTATTCAGCTCGTTATGCCAATGCCTCCCTCCCTCCCCCCCCCCCCCTCTCCCGTGCAGATGGCCGATGTGAGAGGAGCCCCGGTCTGTTGGGCGTGGACGCCACATGCGGAGCTGCAGCGTGAATTACGCTCAGGCGGCCCGGGGCCGCGCCCAACTACGACCTCGTAGTTCCGCCATCTCTCGGACGTTCCTGGGTTGTCTGAACTGCTGCCAGCAGTGGCATGTGCGGATGGAGTTCTCTCGAGTCGGAGACGTCCGCGTGGAGCGCTAGCTCCCGCCGGCTGGTTTAGGAGCACACCCGGCCTTCAGCCTGTCTCTCGCAACAAGAGGCCGTGTATGGACTTCCATTTTAGAGCCTGAGAGCCTTGCAATTACTCCGAGCTGCACATCTGGTCGCGTATCATGGATGCCGGGCCCAGGGTCTAAGCCTGTTATATTCCGAACAACAAACCTGCGCTGGCAAAATAAACAGCAGACGCATCGTAGCGGCCTCCAGCGGTTGATCAAAAGGACGCGTAGGAGCCTCAATGCAAGTGACGGGCGCGGGCTGCGTACGATTTCTGGCCAGCCCGCTCAGCTACGCGTGCTTGGCGCGAGTCACAACTGACCGATCACCGGTGTGCTCTTCCAGATCGAGGCAAAGTTCAACAACGACCGCAACCTGACGTACAGCTGCTCCTACACGCCGACCTCGGAGGGTGCGCACAAGGTGATCGTCAAGTTCATCGGCAACGAGATCCCCAAGTCGCCGTTCTCGGTGCAGGTGGAGGGGTACGCCGGAGACCCGAACAAGGTGACCGCCTCTGGCCCGGGCCTGGAGCCCGTCGGAGTGGTCGTCAACAAGCCCACCTACTTCGACATCTTCACACAAGGTGGGTCGCAGTGTGCGGCCGTCGGCTTCGGGCGTGTGTGGTATACCATGACGTGGCACGCGTGCTTTAGAATGTCGTATTCGGAGGCGTGCGTCGAGTTCAGATGCATTACGTTGCCTGCCTTCAGATCCCAAGGGCTGCTCCATTTGGGAAATTATAATGCGAGAACACCAGCAATGCAATTTTGTTCGATGTGAGGCTTGGGGCGTGAGCACCCCACCGTTATTATTACTTTCGGAAGCTCAGTCACCGAACTCTTCATGCCGATGATGGCATCATTCCGCCCCACCTTTGACCCGATGTGATGCAAGCGTGAGACATCATTACAGGTCAGCGAGTGGATCACTTGTTAAGTTGTTATCTACGATGTGAAGTTGCAGCTTTGCCGATAATTGGTGCGCCAGCACGGCAAGTGTGGGCACGGTGCGACAGCCGGGGTTGTCAGCTCTTGCCAATGCCGGTGCTGCTAACGGGACGACAATGGCCTGCTCCTTCCTTGGCCATTTTATGAGCCTTGCTCGGACACGCAGCGAGGCTACTGGGGACAGTGCAGCCGCCGGCCGGTTAGACACGCATCCGGTCACTCCCATCACGTGATCCGACTGATTTGGATGGCTTTCCGCAGACGCCGGCAAGGGAACCCCGGAGGTGGTCATCCTCGACCCCAAGGGCAAGCAGAACCCGGCCATGCTCAAGCTGAAGGAGGTGAAGCAGGGCCAGTGGCGCTGCGAGTACGTGGCTGAACAGGTCGGCATGTACTCCATCAACATCTACTTTGCCGCCAAGCCAATCCCCAAGAGCCCCTTCGGCGTTAAAGTGAGCCCTGGTAAGTCGGACGTGTGATGCACGGATTCTCTTTTAAGCTTTTGAAACCAATCTGAGGCGGTGTAAACGCATTTGATGTATGCTTGTCCGCGAAGCTCTTTCTTCTCTTTCCACTCGTGGGTGCAAGAAAGGGAACCGTCGTAAGAGCATAGTGGAAACGCAAACAGCGGAACATCTTACTTTTTTAGGCAAAAAGAAGTCACCAAAAATGCATTCTCCTCGCATTATTTCCATTGGATTCAGCCTCTGTGTCCCCCACGCCCACCACACGTGAACCTTGCCCTAGTGGCTGTCGCCAGTACTGCAGCGGGTGTCTGTCCTCAGCGTGTGACCCCCGCCGGGTCAAGGCCACTGGGCGGGGCCTGCAGAACAAGGGCGTGCGTGTCGGAGAGACGGCCGACTTCAAGCTGTGGACGGAGGGCGCCGGCGACGGTGTGCCCAAGGTCCGCATCATCGGGCCAGGTCAGTGGTAGCCGGGGTCATCACGCGAGAACGGATAGCTCCCCGAGGATGGAGCGTCACTCACGTGTATGCTGAAGGGTGTGTGCTACTTTGACGCGCATGCTGGAGGACGTACGCTTATTTCACGCAACGGTGAGCATAGAGTGGGGAGTGATCATGCAATGACTGTCCCGATGTCGGCATTTGCGGTCATTGAGCGACGAGGCGGGTCATTGAGCGACGAGGCGGATCAATGAACGGTCTTATTGACGTCTTGTGTCAGTCTGTGTTACGTATCAGTTCGAGGACGAGTATTTTGTCGAGTATATTGGGCACTTAAAGAACCCCGAGAATTAATGTTTCGTCCTCCGTACAGTGGACAGCTCCGGTGAAACGTTACCGAAGGCGCATTATAAACACGCTGTTTGTTTTCAGGCGGCGCTGACGAGCCTGCTGAGCTGAAGAAGGTCAGCGACTTTGTCTACGAGGGCGCCTACTACCCGAAGCGCGAGGGCCGCTACATCGTGATGATCACGTACGGAGGCCACGAGATCCCCAAGTCGCCCTTCGAAGTCAACGTCGGTCCGAAGACGGTGAGTGATAACGCTGAACCATCGGCCAACCGCCGTGGTCCCCGGGATTTCCAGGTCCGCAGGGTTCCTAGCTCCTGAGGGTCCCCAGATTCCCAAGATCCGCCGTGTTCCCCAGGATTCCCAGGTCCCCAGGACCTGCCGTCCCAGAATTTCCAAGTCCCCAGGATCTGCCGTGGCCCCCAGAACTTCCAGGTCCCCAGGATCCGCCACGGTCCCCCAGGGTTCTGGCACGTGCTGTAGGCCTCAGTCTCCGTCTGTGTGCGACTCCGGATCTGTTCTCCGTCTCAATTCGGTCCCATTCCTGTCGCATAAGCACCTCCGTCTCCGTCTCCGTCTCCGTCTCCGTCTCCGTCTCCGTCTCCGTCTCCGACTCCGACTCCGACTCCGACTCCTACTCCGACCCCGACCCCGTCTTTGTCTTCTTTTTCATCCCCGTCACCGATTTCGTTTGCATCTTTATATAACATCGCCATCTCTATTTCCATTTCCTGTCTTTACATTCGCGTCCGCCTCTGCGGCCGCCTGCCCGTCGTCTCTGTGATCGGACGAACCTCTGGGGAGTGACGGGAGACGATCGGTTAAAGAGGGCGTCTAAACACAGATGATCCCCGCCCGCGGTCGGCCGGTCGGTCGGTCTGACCGTCGGCTCAGACGGCCTGTTTGTACTGGCCGCGCTCGGAGAGGGGGCGGGGCGGGGCAGGGTGCGGAGCCGCCTCCAGGGCAGCTCGAGATAGGTGACTAGACGGGCGGAGCGGCGCGTGAGGTGCGCTCGCCACTGAACAATGGCCACATTCCTGCCTCCACACGGCAGCGACGCTTTCGTTTGTAGTGACGTCACCGACCACGCCACGCCGCCGTCACCAAGCCGTGTTGTCACGCCCGCACCGCCATCTGTTGCAGGAATCGTTAATCCGGTGTTACGGGCCCGGCCTGAAGGGCGGCGTTGTGAACACGCCGGCCGCCTTCACGGTGGAAACGAACGGCGAGACGGGAGCGCTGGGCTTCAGCGTGGAGGGCCCGTCCCAGGCGCAGATCCAGTGCAAGGACAACGGCGATGGCTCGGCCGACGTCACTTACATGCCGACGGCGCCCGGCGAGTACGCCGTGCACGTGCTCTGTGAGGGAGAGGACATTCCGCAGTCGCCCTGGATGGCGCAGATCATGCCCAAGACAGACTACGACGCGAGCAAGGTTAGAACCCACCGACTGCTGCCGTGTCGCCTGGTCTTCGCTTGGCCCGCTCACGCAGTGCATTTTGGGCGACATTCACCTTCGACCATAGGCTTTGCTTATGGTTAGTGCTTGTGACTTGTAAGGAAATGCATCAGGCAAATGTCTGTTTGTATAATGTTCAGACGTCGCGCAGCGCTTTGTTCTGTCGCCGCGCGGACAAGGGAGGCACACACATGAGTCTGGGCTGACGTTTGGATGTGTTGCCCGTGTCCAGGTGAAGGTGTACGGCCCTGGAGTCCAGAAGGACGGTGTCACCATCAACAAGCCCACCTACTTCACCGTTGACACAACCAACGCTGGCAAGGCTCCTCTAGATGTCTCGGTGAGTGATAGCTCTGTAGCTCGCAACGCTTAGCTCCTCATCGAACACGTATACTTTGCCGTGGCTATGAGATATGAACAGCTCTTTAACATCATTTAGTGATGTCGCGTAGCATGCGTTAGCCTTTGGACAACGCGGCGTTAAGTGCGGCCAATATGACCTCCCGATGATCATGCTGTTTTCATACGCATGCTGACACCTTCTTTGCAGCCTTGTGAGTGCACTCATCACCCTGTTCCCAGTTGATGGACGAGAATTATCAGGCGGTGCCGATTCGCGTGACGGAGAAGTCGCCGGGCGTCTACAACGTGGACTACACCATCACCTCTAGCGGCAAGCATACTGTCCAGGTGAGCAGTGCACGGCGGGAGGACAAGATCTCAAACCATCGCTGTTGGCATGTCTCGGCTGGACGAATCCAGTGTACTATAACACTCAGCGGCGGGCCGTCGTCTCCTGGCCATCGCTGTGCGCTTAATTCTAGCCCCATCAAGCGGTCCGATAATTTAGCCGGCCAATCCCAGTCGCCGCTCCGCTGTCTGCTGCCGCCGCGCTCTGACGCGGCGCCGGCCGCTCTGCCGTCTCTGACGCGGCGCCGGCCGCTGTGCCGTCTCTGACGCGGCGCCGGCCGCTCTGCCGTCTCTGACGCGGCGCCGGCCGCTCTGCCGTCTCTGACGCGGCGCCGGCCGCTCTGCCGTCTCTGACGCGGCGCCGGCCGCTCTGCCGTCTCTGACGCGGCGCCGGCCGCTCTGCCGTCTCTGACGCGGCGCCGGCCGCTCTGCCGCCTCTGACGCGGCGCCGGCCGCTGTGCCGTCTCTGACGCGGCGCCGGCCGCTGTGCTGTCTCTGGCGCGGCGCCGGCCGCTGTGCCGTCTCTGACGCGGCGCCGGCCGCTATGCCGTCTCTGACGCGGCGCCGCTGCCGCAGGTGAACTACGGCGGCGTGGCCGTGCCCAACTCGCCGTTCCGGGTCATGGTCACCGCGCCCGTGGACGCCAGCAAGGTGCAGGTGTTCGGCCCCGGCCTGGAGCCGGGCGTGCGCGCCCAGACGCCGACGCACTTCAACGTGGACGCCCGCGACGCGGGACCAGGTGAGTGCCGGGCGAGGGGACGCGGAACGCAGCGGGGCGAGGCTGGCCGGTGCCGGGGACTCGAGCTGGCTGGTGACCTGGGACGGGACGTAAGGTGGGTGAGGTCGGGGGCTCGAGCTGGCTGGTGACCTGACTGGTGACCGGTGTTGTCAGGCCCCTGTCGGAGGTTTGTGAAGGTGACAGTTAGACCACAAAGGGCATTCGTCTCTTTGGGCCAGGCGAAAACGGGGAATGCTTGAATGGCCATTCAAGCAGTCAGATATGACACCTGATTAACAAGCTCTTAGACGCCTGATCAGGTGTGAATCATCCCTTGTCTGATTACTGCGAGAAGGGTTTGCCGTCAGATAGCCTTCCGCCAATACGTACACCTGATTAACAGACTCTCAGACGTCTGATCAGGTGTGAATCATCCCTTGTCTAATTACTGCGAGAAGGGTTTGCCGTCAGATAGCCTTCTGCCAATACGTACACCTGATTAACAGACTCTCAGACGTCTGATCAGGTGTGAATCATCCCTTGTCTGATCACTGCGGGGAGGGTTTGCCGTCAGATAACCTTCCGCCAGTACGTACTCAGGGAATATCGCACTGCTCAGTCGTAGATGACATCAGCAGACTGCTAACAACTGATACCCTTTGCCAACGCTGGGATGATTTGCCTCTCGCAAGCGGGAATGTTCGGCGTCTCGTCGCGCGTCATCTATAGCTGTAAACCGTAATCTCTAACTTGCCTTTCGGCCGCCAGCGGAGCTGCGCGTCGGTCTAAAGGACAGGCAGACGGGCCGCGAGGTGCCCGTTCAGCTGACCGACAACGGCGACGGTACCATGACGGCCGACTACTCCTACCCCAAGCCAGGCCCCTACACGCTGAACGTCACCTACGGCGGCAAGGCCATCCCGCAGAGCCCTATTGACATCGAGGCCAAGCCCAAGGTGGACGTCTCCAAGATACGTGTGGACGGCATAGAGCCCAGTGAGTGCACGCGTCGGCGAGGCGGGAGGCTGCACTCCGAAGGGTTTGTCCATGATCCGGTCAGATCAAAAGTGCGGCAAGCAAGGGAGAAACGATGACTCACTCGGTGTTGATATCTTGCCTGATAACCGCTTCTCGAAATCCGGCGATACACTGTACATGCCTGTGCGGCAGACAAGAGTTGTCCAGCTGCTTTCAAATCGTTTATATTTTTGTGACGAGAAGTGCACTTCTTTCAAATTGTGTCTCGTTCGGCACTGGGACATTAGATTAACCAGCTCTTGGAAGCATCAAGCCTGAGGATAGGGTGGGGGCCAGCTCCTCACCCATCACGCCGGCCCCCGTGCTGGCTGCTGATGCCCCCCTTTCTGTCAGCGGCCTTCCTCAACTCGCCGTCGGACCTGGTGGTGGACGCGAGAGCGGTGCCATCGGCCCGGGACGGTAACGTTACGTGTCCGATCACGGCGCCGTCGGGCGCGCCGTGCCCCTCGTACGTGGAGCCGGTCGGAGACGGCACCTTCAAGGCCACCTACACGCCCACCGAGCCCGGTGAGTGGGTCCCGACCGGTCAGGTGGCGCCTGCCGGCGGGCATTGGGGGCTGATATTCCAGGCCCACAGCCGGACTGCGCTGGAGAACGGCTCGTGGGCAGTGGAGGAGTGAGGCGAAAAGAGGGAAGATGTTGAGATGCAGAGTAAGGTCTATTTGAGCACTTGGTCCCGAATCATGATTTCAAGCTCTCAAAGAGATGCAACAACTACCCGATACGGCCTGCTGCATTTTTAACCCAACCACGTGCATATCTTAACCCGATGCTCCTCATTGCCTCACCATCATGACAGTGCATGTCGTCGTGTACCAGTACTGACGTCAGGGTCGCGCACGCGCAGGCCCGCACAAGATCGATATCGCGTACGATGGCGTGCCCGTGCCGGGCGCGCCCTTCAATGTGACGGCCAAACCGGGCTGCGACCCGCGCAAGGTCAGCGCCAACGGGCCCGGCCTGTTGCGCGGCATCGTCAACAAGCCCAACACCTTCACCGTCAACACGCGCGGTACGGGCTGATACGGCCGCCGCCGGCTGTGGTGCCGGCCGGCGCGGAAGTACGGAGAGGTCACGTCATGAGCTTTGCTACCTTTGCTACCAATGTGGTGGTTAGAGCCCTGAGCTGCTGGCCAACAGGCAACACGTATCTTTAGGCATTTACTCTTGTTATAAAAGGCGTGTACTCAGCTTTAACATGTTCACTGGGGTGCTCAGATGATACAAAATATTTATTCGGTGATGTTTGTACATCTTCGGCGGTACTTCAATCCGTCGTTTGAAGGGACCCCGTACTCCTTGCTGTGTGGCGAAGCGCTGGCCGTGTCCGTCGTCCCGCCTCCTCCAGACGTGACTGAGCCACCGTACTGCGCCGTCAGGTGCGGGCACGGGCGGCCTGGGTCTGGCGGTCGAGGGCCCGTCTGAGGCCAAAATGTCCTGCGTCGACAATAAGGACGGCTCGTGCACGGTCCAGTACGTGCCCACGGAGCCCGGCGAGTACGACGTCAACGTCAAGTACGCGGACCAGCACATCCCCGGCTCTCCGTTCAAGGTCAGTTCAGCCGACCAGCCCATCCCGGCTCTCCGTTTAAGGTCAGTACGGCCGACCAGCATATCCCCGGTTCTGTTCTCCGTTCAAGGTCAGTACAGCCGACCAGCACATCCCCGGCTCCCCGTTCAAGGTCAGACCAGCACGTCCGCTGCTCTAGCTGTAGGGTCTGCGTGAGGTCAGCTCATCTCCAACGGTTGCTGTAGGGCATTCGTTAGATCAGCTCATTTCCAGCCACCACTTAATGACGCTACACGATTAGCGCGTCTCCGTCTTTCCGTTCAGGCTTGGTACAGCCACTATAATCTCTGATGTATGGCGACAGTTTCGACAGCGACGGACAGTGTCGACAAAGGCCTCAATCTTTCGGCCGACTTCTTGAAGCGCCACACTGTACATGTCACGTCTAAGCTTGCCCACGGCCGTCAACCGTCAACTTCGATTGAACCGTCAACAATGCAACGCTGGCCTATCCACATACAATACTGTTCTGTTCTGTTCTGCTCTGATACTGTTCGACAAACTGTGTGAACAATCTAACGCCGAGAGCACCATCCGTGCGTCTGGGAGGTGCTGACGTATCTGTGGCCCCTATGGTCACTGTCTCTGATGTCGTCAGTGGTCCACTGATGGACGCTTACGCTGCCCACTGTGGACGGCAGGTGCCGGTGGAGTGTGAGGTGGACGCTGACAACGTGACGGCTCACGGACCCGGCGTGGAGCCGGAGAACTGCCGCGCGAACGTGCCGCTCTCGTTCACCGTCGACGCCACCAAGTCGGCGCCGGCGCCGCTCGCTGTGGATGTGAAGAGCGACAAAGGTGCGTCACGGGCGGCAGCGGCGCGGCCAGCTCTGTCCAGGTGCTGGCAGACCAGTCTGAGGCCGGAGGAACGTTCACTGTGAGAGACTAGTCTGGGGTCTGGTGATAGTTGACTGAGCTTAAGTTAGCGGTCATTATGAATTCAGGGCCCGGCTGTGAGCTCGCATCAGGGATCGTCTTTGGGTCAGGGTCAGGGTGGTGGGGTGGTGCAGGATGATGTCTATGGGATACAGCAGACGGGCACGCACTGGTGAGCAGGTCGTCTTTGCTCATTTCATTATGAAATGAGCAAAGCAGGCTGCAGTATATCACTTTGTTTTGCCACCATCTCCCATTTGTGCACCAATATCCCACATATGACTCTGAGTTCATAATCTTGAACCAGAAATGATGTCCGCCCTGACATATTATTGCCATTGAAATCGGGTCCCCAATTCACTCATTGTACGTATCAATTTGCGCTTGATTTCTGGGTTTTATAGCCCTCAACTCCCAGTATTTGTCCACTGTTTTCCGCGGCACTTGAGTTCGAGTATGATGCTGGGTGCCAGGGGACTTAAATCTGAGTCCGAGTTCTAAAACACTGAATCTGAATCCATCTGTACTTCAGGGCTTACATATGCTGGGGTCAATGCCTTGGTAGCTGAAGGTGCATTGATTCCGTGATTCTGGGGCGGTTTTCACATCCCTCAGCGCCTCATGTAGGATTGCTTCAGCAAAGCATCCTGCTCGGCTGCTTCTAATTATCTTTCCACCAAAAATGGCGACTGTTTGAGTCTCCAATCTCTTGCACTACTGAGTTACTCCTGCCTTATTTCAACGTGACTCATGTCGGCTTTCGCTGAAACTAAGGATGTTTGCGAGAAGCCACAGAGCCAAGTACAATACGCTCGCCGACGGACAAACATATCTGGCACACAAATAGAACCAAGACTTTGTTGCCAACCGGCAAGCCTCGTGCAATGGCCAGCCCCTTTCTTGTCCCTGTACTGCACGCTATAATGCCGGCGGTGTTATCACTGTAGTGCTCACGGAGCTCGTTGAATAGCTCGCTGTTCAGCTTAGTGTTACGAATGCTGTCTCTGCAGGCCCGCTGCCGCGGAAGCCGGTGGTCCGGGACAACGGAGACGGCACCTACAACGTGACCTACCACCCGCCGCCAGAGGGCAGCGTGTGCATGCCGCGGGTTACCTGGGGAGGCAAGGACATCAAGGGCAGGTCAGTAGGCGGCCCGCCGTCTCCCGCGGTCAGCTGGCGCACGAACCAGAGAAGTCGTGACACGTAAAGACGTCTAAACGATTGTTGGTTTTTATCATCGTGAGGAATAACAATAAACAAAACGTACAAAACACCGAATAATAATATGTCATACGGAAATACATGGAAAGTAAAAAGCAGTCATCCGCCTTACAAAACGGAAACCAATACGTATCAACGTATTGATGTGCCACCAGACGTCAGTTTTCGTGGTCAAATGGGTAGGGTGACTGTGTTTCCTGCAGACAATCACTCCTCACCTCCGGGCTCAATCAGGTGGCCTGACCGTGTGACTAAGTCCACCGCCTGACATGCGACTGCAGTTCCGGCAGCCTGATCTCACCGTCGCCATACCATCAGAGCCGGGACAGCGCCGCCCCCTCGCACTGACGTGACCTCTGACCGGCAGCCCCTGGCGCATGCCGGTCAAGCCCACCTGCGAGCCGAACAAAGTGCGGCTGACCGGTCCGGGCGTGTCCAGCAAGGGCGTGCCGGCCTCTCTGCCGGCCGAGTTCACCGTCGACGCCCGCGACGCCGGCTTCGGCGACCTGGAGGCGCAGATCCTGGTGCGTGGTGGCGCGCCGCGCCGCCCCGGGGCGCGGGGCACGACCCGCGCGACGGGCAGAGCAGGCAGCTGAGCTCAGCTGTGGGTCCCGGCGGAGGCCATGGGACGCTAGTGACGGGGAACGGGAAGTTCTGTTTCGACTTGCGGTAGTGGCGTTTGTTCAGAAGGCGACGCTCCGTTGTTCTCATTCTAGTTGTATACTACAGACCCTACGTGCTTAAGAGGTCGGCCCGGCTAGTTATAAGATGTAGACTGGTACTGGCGGCTAAAGTATTGTCAGTAACTGATCAGGAGCCTGGCTGTAAATAGGTGACCCCTCGTGTCACTGCAAAACGCCATGGGCGACGTGGCTCAAGCTTTGCGCAGCGGTCGTGCTAAACGAATTTTTCATACCGTCCCCATAATTCTCATCGCTTCCCTGACCTCATGAAAAAATTGTGACCAACCGCACCCTTCTGACGGCACCGGTTGACGCCGCGCAGGGGCCGGACAACTACCCGCGCAAGGTGGAGATCGCCGACAACGGCGACGGCACGTACACGGGCCGCTATACGCCCGACGACTGCGGCCAGTACAAGGTGCACGTCAAGTACGGAGGCAAGGAGGTGGCTGGGTCGCCCGTGCCCGTCCAGGCCGTGCCCACCGGACAGGTGAGAGACGCCAGCACACCACTAGCCATCATTGGCTCCCAGCTGTATGGGGGCACAGGGTCAACCGGCGAACAGTGGAGCTATCACTAGCTCCTGGCTGTATGAATGGACAGGCTCATCCGGCGAGCATTGGGGCTGTCGTTGGCTCCCAGCTGTATGAGAAGTGGCTTCGTTTTGACGCAGGGTCGTGCTCCAGTCTCTTGCGTTTGTAAAAGTTGTAGGTATTCTTTTAACATGCCTTGTTTTGCTGGTGTGGACCAGAAATGATCTGGTGGCGAGAAATGATCTCTTCAGTCCCAAACCCTACCCCATAGCTCTTCACATACGCACTAATGACCATGCAACATATGATTCTCCAAAGACTTAACAGAGTAACTCTGCAGACGAGTCGTGGGTGTTCAGTTTCGTTAGCGTGCTTTCCCGACATGCGACGACGCCTTCCACCACAAGCCTAAGTCCCCTGGGCGGTTGACACACGACGGACCCCGGCTGTGGACGCGGCCTGCCCAGCCCACCGCTGATACACGGCGGACCCCGGCTGCGGGCGCCGCCTGCCCAGTCCACCGCTGATGCGCGGCGGACCCCGGCTGCGGGCGCCGCCTGCCCAGCCCACCGCTGATACACGGCGGACCCCGGCTGCGGGCGCCGCCTGCCCAGCCCCCCGTTGACGCGCGCGTGCGCCCGCCAGGCGGACCGGTGCAAGATCGAGGACGGCGACTTCCGCGACCAGGTGGTGAGCGTGGGCGAGCAGTACTGCATCAGCGTCAACGCCAAGCAGGCCGGCAGCGGCAACGTCACCTGCCGCATCCGCTCCACCTCCGGCTCCGGGTGAGGGCGCAGCGCCGGGCGGGCGTGGCCGGCCGGCGACTGGGCGGCCGGCGCCGCTCGAGCACGGTGTCACGTCGGCCGCTGGCCAGGCGGGCACGCCGGCATTTAGCGGCGGCTTGACTGCTGAGGCTCGCGCCCTGTTGAGGCTTGTGCTGGGTTCTGCAGCGTTGAGCTGTTGATTGGTCCGCTATTGGACTAAAATTGTAGGTCTTGTATTGCCAGTGTGAGATGTCTGATTTTGGCAAAAGTGCTTGTGCGTGCCGTTCGCATTCCTGAAGGCGTTGTATGCGAGCCCATTGGCTAGAAAATAGCCATTAAACGAGTATAATTGTCAGAAATGACTGGTTCATATCATCTCGTTAAAAGGCAAGCCGTGTTCACTAAATTGCGATCTATTGGCCGCCGTCCAGGGATGTGGACATCGACATCGCTGACAACGGAGACGGCACGTTCAACATCTACTACAAGGTCAAGGACGCCGGCGAATACTCCCTCAACGTCAAGTTCGGCGGCCAGCCGGTGCCCAATGGACTGTACTCGTTCTCGGTAAGTCGGCCGTCGCCCCTCCCCCCCCCCCCCCCCCTCGCCCGCCGCCTCCTGACTGGGCTCCCACCTCACCTGGTGGTGACAAAGCTGCTGTCGGAGAAGCGCACAGCCGTGGAATCTGCTGGCATCGGCGCGCCGGCCGACCCAGGCCAGGTGAGTCACAGTCGTGTCGAACGTGTCGTAAGGCGTTGGCAGCCTCAGACGCTCCGAAAAACGCCTGACGTGCGGCACCCGAAGCTCGTCCGGCGTTGCTATTGTTTGGCCGGGAACGTCATGGCCAGCCGGCGGGAAAGCCAGAAGATATGGATGCTCATCAGACCGAGCCGTGTGGACTGAAGCAGACGGAACCGGACCCGACAGGCCCGGCTTGTTGAAGCCGGCGGCAGCCTTAAGCCAGTAACCCCAATCATGACTTCTGGGAGCTACCATCCACACCTAGCCATCACGGCGGGTCGGCGCGGTCGACACATGTTGTCCTGCGAGCTGGACCGCCCCCGGCGGCTGGCCGGGGAGGTCCGTGGCTGGATACCTACCGTGGCCGTCCACCGTCGGCTCCTCGCTCACAGGGCCGTCTCGTTAAGATGCCGTCGGCACGGCCTCGCGACGACGCTCGCCGAGCCGTTTAACACCGCAGTCGGCCAACAGAAATAGTTGCCCGCCGCCGCCCTGTCTTCGGTCGCACGGGAAAAACTACAAAAGCCGCTGATGGCAACGATCGTTGGAGTTTTGGGGCGCGCTGACGCTGGGGTCGTTTGGCATGGGAGTCCAGAAGCCCACATCTGTGTTCGTTGACGATTTCCGATCCGTAACGCCCGTTTGGTGGAGAATGGAATATAATCGGTAAGACCGTGATTGCTGTTGCCGGGATGCCATACAATCCGATATCGACGGTCAACACATTGGAGATTCGTTTTAAATGTACTAACTGCCAGTAGAGTGGTCGCAGAGGTCAAGAGATCACTGTCAAGTGCCCATTGGCATGTTTCACGAACATAACCATAAGTGGGGCAGACCTGTTCCAAGCATCTTCTAAGCTATCCGCAACAAAGCTCATGTCTCTGAAAGAACTAGCGAGGTCTTCCATGGCCGGTGACCGGACGATGGCCGAAACGCCGCGCGGAAGCGGAAGTGCATCCGACAGTGGGTCACGGTGGATCCCCTGGACGGACACGGGCCTGGTTAGCCGGCCCCTGGCATGCGAGCTGGCAGGTGGTCGCAGCGGGTCTCGGGTGGTGGCGGCGGCTCCTTGCGTGACCACCCCGGCGACATTAATAGCACGGGCGTCCCGCCCCGTGCAGAATTTGGCGTGCCGCTGGAATGCAGGCCGGGCTCCGCTACCCCTGGCCTGGGCTGGAGGGCCTGTTGCGATCGTGCCGCCAGAGCTGGCTGGCTGCCAAGTGCGTGGTTGACCGTGGGACTGTCGGAAGCGCGGTTAGGGTTGGGTTGTTGCGGTTCAAAATATCGGACCATGTGGTGCTCGGAGTGACGTATGTCGCAGTTTTGGGGCGAAGATCCACTTAGGAGCTCATTGACACAAGAGAACATGGCAAGACAAGTCATGTTGTCATTTTGATGCATTGAGACCGACTTGTTTCGCCATCGGGCATAAGATAAGCAGCAATGACAGATGGTAGACAACATTTCCGAAGCAGTTCAAAGTCCAGTCTAGGTTATGGTACTTTCATAAGCTGAGCTGGATGCTTCCCTTCCATAAAGCAACGGCTCTGCTGTAGCCACTGTGTGTTTGGCGCACGTCACAGCCAGCGAAATATGGTATCTTAGAAGCAGAGGAACGAATGCAAACATGTACTTACAGTCCCACGATCAGCTGGTGGGTCGGCCCGCCTGCCGGCCGGAGCTGCTCCTGGGCGCCGACACCGTCCCGTCTGTTGACTGAACGGCCTGAGGCTGGCGCTGCTGACCGGTGGCCCGCCCCTGAGGCGGCTGGACGCCACCTGATCGTTCCCCTCCCGGCTGTGTCTGCCGCGCCGCTGCGCCCCGCCGCCTGTTGTCGTTGGCGGCACGGTAAAGGGTCGAGCCGCGGCCCGTCACCCGTGGCGAGCCCCGCCGGCCGGCCGGTAACTGCCGCGGAACGCGGGGGAGGAGCACCGTCCGGCCCGAGTGTGAACGGCTTGCGCCGGACCAGGCAGTCTGCAGTGGACAGAGCTGTCCCGATCAAACCGGACGGGACCGGACCGGACTGGACCGTACCCGACCGGACCGGACCGGGCCGGACCGAGCCGGACCGGGCCGGACCGAGCCGAGCCGGGCTGGGCTGGGCCTGACCGGGCCGGGTCAGGCCGGGCCAGATCGCCGGCCGTCCTGGCGAATTCACTGAGAGTCGCCCTCACGACCTGCGTGTGCGTGACGGAGAGGGCCATCAACCGAAGCATTCGGCACAGATTGACGTGAGGTGCGCGCCAAGCCAAACAGGGGCCGACACTGGCGACGGCGCCAGTACTGCGCCGGAGAGGCTCGTCCCACCGCAGGGGGCTCGCGGCCGGCCGAAATAATTCAGACGACACGTCGTCCACCGGGAACGCGCCAACGACAACAGGCTGGCGGCGACGCCAGCGACGGCCGCTGAGAGGCTCTGCGGCCGGAGGTTACCTCGGGCTGAGAGGCTGAGCTTATGCTGAGAGGCTCTGTGGCCGGAGGTTACCCCGGGCTGAGAGGCTCTGTGGCCGGAGGTTATCCCAGGATGAGAGGCTCTGCGGCCGGAGGTTACCCCGGGCTGAGAGGCTCTGCGGCCGGAGGTTACCCCGGGCTGAGAGGCTCTGTGGCCGGAGGTTACCCCCGGGCTAGGAGACTCAGACAGGCTGATACTGATCGGCTTTGATCCGTTATTCTGACTGCCGCTAAGTGCAAGTAGCAAATCCTTGCACTACCTCTCGTGGAACTCGTCCTTATCGCTACCTGGTAATCCTAATCCCAGGGCGCATCCAGAATTTCGCCACGGCATCCGGACAGTGAACCTGGTCCAGCAATGGGGAAAGAGCGCACGAATTGCGATGCGCACCCCCCGTTGTCGCCCATAAATCACGTTTCTTAGTTTTGGTCATTTTAAATCCCCCTTCCTCCGTATTTTCATTGTTTACACTGGGTGACTCCCCTTGCCCTAATTACGTTGTGTTGGTCGCCAGGACGTACAAAAAAAAAACACGTCCAATGGCTCCCAGTTGGGCTGCGTGCGAAACGAAGACGGGTCTTTCGCCATCACACTTGAGCGTAACGTCACGCTGGCCGAACACCCCCCCCCCCCCCCCCATCCCTGTGACGCTTACGGCTTTCGTTACGCTCCGTCTCCGCCTCCATCCACGTGGGACGTATTCCGTGGGCGGCCCACAGTCGCAAATTTTGTTTTCTCGAAAATTGCACTCAAGACTATAAACGTTCCAAAGTGTCAGTCCATTACATGCACCGTGTTTCGTGCGGTTCTGATGAGCTATATCAGGTATCACGGTTCCTCCCTATTCCAAGGCCCCACCTAGGTATTGGGGGAGTGGCGATGGTCGCTGCTATGGGCCCTCGTTTAAATCCGTCCTTTTCTCATCCTCATTATCGCTTCGGCCCCGCGTTGTCGGGCTACAAGCTCATCACGAGGCCCCACCAATTTACGTCGGCATCGGGACACAAGCGCATCACAGTCAAATGCATTTTTGGTTCAATAATATTACGTTGGATTTATTTACCTCTGGCCGAAATGTTTGTACCGGATGCTAACCAAATTGCCTTCCCTTTCGCAATAAATGGGAGGAGAATTCAGCCAACGTCCATGGCCGGGAACCCTATTTACTTAACTCCGCTGTAAGTATGGTATTGATTTAGGTCCATGTTAGCAGTTGGCGTGTAGAACAGCATATACATCCATGTAGAATAAGGCTTCTATGGATTATGTACTTTCCATCTGATCAGCAGAGGTAAAGTCGGGTCCCAACGTATGGAGATAAATTAACCTCTCCTAAAGCATTTCAAATGTATTTGTTGCGGTTGTCGACAGCCAACACATACATGCCTGGAGTGATGGGCTGGAATGATGCCTTGAGTGAAAGCCAACACATACATGACTGGAGTGGTCATGCCTGGAGTGATGGGCTAGAATGATGCCTGGAGTGACAGCCAACACATACATTCCTGGAGCGATGGGCTGGAATGACGCGTGGAGTGACAGCCAACATACACATGACTGGAGTGGTCATGCCTGGAGCAATGGGCTGGAATGATGCCTTGAGTGACAGCTAACGCATACATGACTGGAGTGATCATGCCTGGAGCGATGGGCTTTTGCCTTTTTGGCCAGCCTTGCAATGTAATGAAAATGGTTTGTTTACTTTGGTGAACCACTTTGACTTTCAGGTGTAACATCGCCAGCTAATCACGCGGCATTCGCGGAGAGGGTGTTTGTGGTAGCCCTCGAAGGTGGCTTAAACGATTCACGCATAACAGACGTCCCAGTTCAGCCGACGTAGTGTATAACTGTCACTAAGTTGCTGTATCCAAACGCTTCAGCCAGACTTCCGATCTGATGGAAAACCACTCACCGCCCTGCATTCTGTCAGTCACCGCTCTCTTACCACATTCTCTCCCCCCCCCCTCCCCCCAACAGAGCGGGTCTGCGTTGACAGATGGAGCCATCGGTCGCGTGTCACTGATGAGAACGCACCATGAAGCTGGCTTGCACAGGATGATGGCGGGCTGTTAGCGCGAGGATTTAACAACTGGAGTCCACCCGGCGTTGGCTGTGTGGAAGGCGATGTTAATCTTTCGCTGTCAGCTGTCACCTCGCGGAAGTGCGGCGAGCGGCTGGGTTGAAGTGCGCTCGTAGATTCTCGTAGTCAATTGCTACCCTTTACATAGCGATGGTATTCCCAGTCTCTCAGTTTGGAAGCATTTCGCTTCACGTGAAGAAGCGGCGCGATGCTGAAGATTCTCTGGAGTGCCAACTTCTCCGCTCCCCCCCCCCCCCCACCCCACCCCCAACAGTGCCGGGACCTCGTCGC